AAAACATATGAGTTATGAATACGATGGTATTTAACTTCCAGTTCCTGGTAAAAATAAGTTTATACACACTCTATTATACCACTGAGAATAGCTGTAAAAAAAGAATTTAAAGGAAATAAAATGTTATACAAATGAAAACTGTCAGATAGACTTTTATACCAATTTAAAAGAAGCCCAGAGGATAATAAGACAATTTTTAAAAAAAATTTTTATTCTTTATTTATTTTTGGGAGAGAGACAGTGATACAGAGTGTGAGTGGGGGAGGAACAGAGAGAGAGGGAGACACAAAATCTGAAGTGGGATCCAGGCTCTGAGCTGTCAGCACAGAGCCCAACACAGGGCTTCAAGTCACAAACCGCAAGATCATGACCCGAGCCGAAGTCAGATGCTTAACCGACTGAGCCACCCAGGCACCCCAATAAGACAATTTTTTTTAACACAGACATGGGAGGCACATGGGTAGTTCATCAGTTATGCATGACATTCTTGACTTCAGCTCAGGGAGGTCATGATCTCACAGTTTGTGAGTTCAAGCCCCACGTTGGACTCTATGCTAATAGCGTGGAGCCTGCTTGGGATTCTCTGTCTCCCTCTCTCTCTCTGCCCCTCGCCACTAGTGCTCTCTCTCTCTCAAAATAAACAAACTTTTAAAACATAAATTAAAAAATTAAAGCAACATAATGTATTTTTCTAAGTAGATCAGTTCATAAATGACATAATACATAGATTTTAGCATAATCCAAATACATTCTTGTCTTGCTAATTAGAACTTGTTGATTCCTTAAAAAAGTTGACCCTGGCACAAAAACAGACACTCCGATCAATGGAACATAATAGAGAACCCAGAAATGGACCCACAAACATATGGCCAACTAATCTTTGACAAAGCAGCAAACAATATCCACTGGAATAAACACAGTCTCTTCAGCAAGTGGCGCTGGGAAAACTGGACAGTGACATGCAGAAGAATGAACCTGGACCAATTTCTTACATCATACACAAAAATAAACTCAAAATGTATGAAACACCTAAATGTAAGACAGGAAGCCATCAAAATCCTCGAGGAGAAAGCAGGAAAAACCTCTCTGATTTTGGCCGCAGCAACTTGTTACTCAACAAGTCTCCAGAGGCAAGGGAAACAAAAGCAAAAATGAACTATTGGGACTGCATCCAAATAAAAAGCTTCTGCACAGCAAAGGAAACATCAGCAAAACTAAAAGGCTACCAACACAATGGGAGAAGATATTTGCAAATTACATATCAGTTAGCATTAAAATCTATGAAGAACTTAACAAACCCACCCAAAAAACAAATAATCCAGTGAAGAAATGGGCAAAAGACATGAATAGACACTTCTTCAAAGAAGACATCCAGATGGCCAACTGACACGTGAAAAAATGCTCCACATCACTCATCATCAGGGAAATACAAGTCAAAACCACCATGAGATACCACCTCACACCTGTCAGAATGGCTAACATTAACAACACAGGCAACAACAGATGTTGGCAAGGATGCGGAGAAAGAGGATCTCTTTTGCACTGCTGTTGGGAATGCAAACTGGTGCAGCCACTCTGGAAAAACAGTATGGAGGTTCCTCAAAAAACTAAAAATAGAACTACCCTAAGATCCAGCAATTGCACTACTAGGCATTTATCCACAGGATACAGGTATGCTGTTTCGAAGGGGCACATGCACCCCCATGTTTGTAGCAGCACTATCAACAATAGGCAAAGTATGGAAAGACCCCAAATGTCCATCGATGGATGAATGGATAAAGAAGATGTGGACATTTGGGGTCTTTCCATATATATACATACATATATATATACACATACATATATATATACACACATATATATACATTCCATATATATACATACATATATATACACACACACACACACATACACATACAATGGAGTATTACTCAGCAATCAAAAAGAATGAAATCTTGCCATCTTGCCATTTGCAACCATGTGGATGGAATTAGAGGGTATTATGCTAAGCAAAATTAGTCAGAGAAAGACAAATATCATATGACTTCATTCATATGAGGCCTTTAAGACATAGAACAGATGAACACAAGGGAAAGGAAACAAAAATAATATATAAACAGGGAGGGGGGACAAAATATAAGAGACTCTTAAATATGGAGAACAAACAGATGGTTACTAGAGGGGTTGTGGGAAGGGGGATGGGCTAAATGGGTAAGGGGCATTAAAGAATCTACTCTTGAAATCACTGTTGCACTATATGGTAACTAACTTGGATGTAAATTTAAAAAATAAAAACATTAAAATTAAAAGAAAAAGTTGACCCATTACCATCAATTCAGTATTAAAGAAGGAAGGAAGAGGAGAGAGAGAAAAAAGGAAGAAGAGGAAAAGAAAGAAGGAAGGAAATAAACATTAAACTATTTCTCATAAAGTATAATTTTCAATTATGTATCTGTAATTTCTGTAACTTCCATCAAAGGTAGGAACTTTTGAGAAACTCAGCCTATTGGGCTTAGAAACCTTACAATCAACCTGCTTACTATTGGTGGGAATACAAACTGGTGCAGCAACTATGGAAAACAGTATGGAGATTCCTCAAAATATTAAAAATTGAAATACTATGTGATCCAGGAATTTCATTCTTGGATATATACCCAAAAAAACCAAAACGCTAATTTGAAAATAGTTTACTACAGCATATTTACAATAGCCCAGGTATGGAAGCAACCCAAGTATTCATCAACACATGAATGGAGAAGATGTGGTACACACATACACACAGACACACACACACACACTGGAATGAAAATCTTGCCACTTGTGACAACATGGATGGACCTACAGAGTGTTATGCTAAGTGAAGTAAGTCAGAAAGAAAAAGGCAAATATTATATGGTTTCACCAATATCTGAAATCTAAAAACCAAAAACAATTGAATAAACAAACAAAAGACAGAAACGGAGCCATAAACACAGAGAACAAACAGATGGTTGCCAGGTTGGGTGACAGACAGGTAGGGGGGATGGGCAAAATGGGTGAAGGGGAGTAGGAAGTACAGGCTTGCAGTTAGGGAATGAATAAGTCATGAAGATAAAAGATACAGCACAGGGAACACAGTCAAAGGTATTATAATGGAGTTGTATGGTGACCGATGGGGCTACACTTGTGAGCAAAGTATAATGTGCAGACTTGCCACACTATGTTGCACATCTGAAACTAATGTAATGCTGTGTACCAATTATACATCAATAATATTTTTAAGACATCATTTTAAAAAAAGACACCTGCTTAGTTAAATTATACCTAGAACATCAAGTACCTTTTTCCACCTCATTCCCAGATGCCTTTTTATCCCTTTCACTCTACCCTCCCTCTCTCCTTTCTCTCTTCCCCTCTTCTCCCCCCCACTACATATACACCTAGACAATGTGTTTAAATTCAATTATTAGTCTAAAATAAGGCAATCCAAAAGGGACAATGTCTAGAGAACAAGTGGTAGAGAGAGTAAAAACACAAAGTGAAGTAAGTCAAAGAGCCATGCCATTTATTGGCTACATTACCAAAACCATTCTTGTTCCAGACAAACCAACTGTGCCAGATCTGGACAGGTATGGCTCCAAAATCTCTCAGAGAGTTTTGTTTCTCTTGGTGATATTAAGGGGGAGAGAAGAAGAAGAAAACAACCCCAGTCTTCAATCCAATGTACAGAGGAACATTTCTAGGTGTTTCAGAGGTTTTATATATCATTGTCCATCTCTATAGATACCAGTTGGCTAAAGTATCTCACTGATTATTGACTTTCCTCAATGCATCTTCCAACTCCACAGGTAGAAGGATTAGACATTGTGCAGAGCCAGATTGCCTTAACCTCACCTGACCTTTACTTTCAGTGTGTAGCAACTCATAACTGGTCAGCACTTGGATCTATGCTAGCCCGATATAGTGGAGTCCAAGGGTGTCGAATAAATTTTGGTTGGAAACTCTCAAGTGGGGCCACTGGGTGGCTCAGTCGGTTAAGCATCCCACCCTTGGTTTCGGCTCAGGTTATGATCTCTCACATTTCATGGGTTCAAGCCCAGCTTTGGGCTCCATGTTGTCAGTGTGGAGCCTGCTTGGGATTCTCTCTCTTCCTCTTTCTCTGCCCCCTGCCCCCCACTCTCTCTCAAAATAAATAAATTTTTAAAATACCTCGAGAAAATTCTTTATAGTTGATCTGATCTTCCACGCTATGTCAAAACAACAACAACAAAAACTGGTTTCATGAGGATCCTTGGGAACAAAGCTAACCTGGGGTAGATCTAGGTTAAAGTGAATCCCTTGGCCTAATCTAAAATAAACTATACTTTAGGAAACCACTGGATCTTGATCAATTCTGGAGAGGGAGCAGGGAGTCAGAGGTTTGCCTCATTTGGTAAACTTGTCAATTGTGTTCTTAGATGATACATACCCTCTGGAAAAGCACAGCAGTTACTGGAGTTGTGCTTCATCACAGAAGTGAATATTTACACTACAGGAAACCCAAGCATGAAATCTATTTTTAATCAGAAGATTGATAAATCCATAATTTTGTTCAGTATAAACAACTCTGTTATCTTTCACAACTAGGTAATTCACTTGATAAATATTAAATCCATGAGGAAGAGCTCCACTGTGCAAATTTTATTTTTAAAGATTGTTCAAAAGTAACCTTTAACAAGCTAAGAACACAGGCTAAAGAAACGCTCAAATCTGTGGTATCAAATTTATGCTGATTATGAATGGTAATTTAGACAACCTGATTTATGAAATCACAAATGTCTGTAATTAAATACTATAGCCCTACTTCATTTTACTTTAGCAAAATAATATTAATGATGTACCACAGAGAAGACATTATTACAATAAATATTTCGCAAAGCCTAAGGAAAATTTTACTCTCAAATGGAAAACAGTTTAAATAGCAAATACCAGAACCAAAAAAAGGGAGAAACATATATTATATAGGAAGCTTCATTGCCCACCTTTCTTCTTGACTGGCATTCTTGGGTCTGTCCACTGCCACAGGATTCAAGATCTTTTCAGGTCTCAACTTGATCCAGCTGGACTGAGGCCAAGAGCCAGGTAACTGTTGCAAACCACTTCACTGTTCAATTTTGAAATCCAGGCTGTCTTCTCTTTCAATAAGGAAAAAAATGATGTATTTTTCCCCACAATTAAACTTTTGACACTGCCCACAGAGTTCAGGAAAAAATAACCTTGAGTTTTTCGATTTTTATAAAATATTTATTCTGTTAAAAAAAATTGAGAAAATTATCGTAAGCATAGAAAATGTTATTAAAACTCTTCTTCAGGCATCAACATTTTTGGAATTCAATGACTAACTCAATTAAGGCACAAACCAAATTTATACAGCTGTCTCATTACTCAATACATGATCGAATTCAGATGAACTGGTTGATGATAAAGATTCTCAATTCTTTAGAGAAAAATTTAATCTCCCCAACAAAAAATACTTTTAAAAACCTTTTTGACTCTGGTGTCTAAAAAGGTGGGTGAGTTTGAACAGTTTTCTGGGGCAGTACACAGACTGAAAGGCCCCCTTTTTATTTACTGGACCAGAAGTTCCAGATCTCACCCCCTCAGTAAGACAGGATCCAGCTTGCTGTCACTTTCATTTTTTTCTTCAGTGCTCTCCAAGCCCCTCAGGCTTAATCCTTAATGCCCCTCTGATTCTGATCCTCCCATGTATTAACCGAGAGGATTGAAAAGAAGGAAAGCAATCCCTTGGCATGGAGACATTAAAGTGACAGTGCTACTCAATGGGCACTTGATGCAGGATGAGTTGGCGAAGCAGATTTCTTCACACTGGAGTCATTCACATCATGCCATCTCTTCGCATCCAAGCAGCTCCCTATCCGGCGAGGAAAAACACTGAGACTGTTCGAGAGAAGTCAAACCTTCCCCCAAAGGTGTTTTCTGAGACGATGTAGTAGTATTAGGCATGTGAGCACAAGCTGTGCAAACGGTTCGCGATTTCCTAAATGAGAGTTCTGCTGCTTGGCTTCCACATCCACCCCTTCTATCTTTCTCCAAACTACCCACCTTCCTTTTGCAGAAAAGACAAGAAATCTCTCTGCTACCGCTGGCCACCCCTGCCCACACCCCGTTCTTATATAGAAGTGCACAGAAATGTCCTGCACCCTCCACGCGATGAAGTGTTTCCTCAGGCAGGAAAAACAGCAGCACTAGAAATTATATAACTCTCGAATTTGGCTTCTCTAAGACATGGAGACTGGAGGGTCGGGGGTTGCTGGTCTGGGAGATACTGCTGGGCACTGAACGTGCACAAAAGGGCGCCAGGCCTATTCGCAGCGCCCCCCACCCCCACCCCGAAACACCGGCTGGCAAAGGGGTCTTCTTGGGGAGTGGGGGGGGGGGGGTCTTTCTCTGGTCCCTTCCAAATGGGGTGAAAAGATGGAATATGAGGTAACTAAAGACTGGGAGAGGAGACACACCGCTGGGAGGATGAGGGGGGGAGCGGGGAGGAGGCTGGTCGGGTCCGCTCTGGCGGCCGGTTGGGGGCTCTGGGGAGGAGGTGTCCAGGAAGCCTTAACACACGGACCAGGCCAGAGGGAAGAACTCCCTCTAGGAGCGAATGGGGCGGACAGCTCGGCCCCCGCTAACAGAGGTGCCCAGAAGAGGGGAAAGCGCGCGACATCCCTGCGCTCGGACCGCCTCACGCACCCCCTCAGCTTGAGGGAAGAGGGAGCTAGGCTAACACACAGCAGGATAAGGGAATGCAGGGCTGGCAAGAAGGCGGGACATTGGACGTCTGGACCTCCTCGAAGCCAATGAGAGGCCTTCATTTCTGGATGCCGTGCCCAATCACAGCCAGGATGGAGGGCGCGGCTTTTGACTGAGTTGGGGAGGGCCGGGCTGCAAGGCTGAGGCGTGAGCCCGCACCACTTCCCGCTCGGGGCGGGCGTTCTGGGTCCCCGCCCACCGCTAGTCACGTGAGCCGCCAAAATGGCGGCGCTTGGGCGTGAGGCTGGGGCTGACCTGAAGGATGCAGGTGTGTTGCCGGTCAGAACTGGGGAAGCGTCCAAGGTAGGCGGAAACCCAGGGCGGTAGGAGTCGTGATTTCTGCAGCCTCAATATGTTAGCGGACTCTTCCGAAATTATGGGATTTGGAAATCTAAAGAGAAGAGCCTCCAAGTCCATGCAGAGCGCAATCAATGGAGCCCCCAGTTGCTATAGAAAGAGACGGAGACAAAGTAGGAGACCTAAAGTCTAGTCCCGATTGCTTGATGTTTCCTTTCTCTGGCCTCCAGGCCTTTGCGCTGGCCTTTCCTTCAACTTGCAGTGCTTCCCTGTAACCATCCCTCCCCACCTCACCTTCTTCAGCTATTCGGTTAAATTTCGCTTACTCCGGGAAACCTTCCCACGCTTCCACTGGCCAGGTTAAGTTTGGCTTTTCTTATGGTTTTGGTTTTGTTCCGTTTAGTTTCGTTTGTATGGCACACTAATTTCTGCCTGTAAATTACCTGCCTTTTTGTCCTCACGTTGGCCGGTTTGTGGGTTCTAGAAGATACATCTACCTTTTAATTATCCTGGGGTCTGGCAAATATCAGGTGCTGTGTAAATGATGAGTGAATATTAAAATTCTGAAAGTCAGGCAAAATAATACACATAAAAGCACTACAAAACTGTAAAATACTTTCCAGACTATAAACCTCGATACATACACTCGTAATGGTATAATCATGGTGACCTTGGACTAGTCAATTTTTAGATAAAATGTTAGTTATAGCAGTCTTTACATTTCAGCACCTGGTAAAAGTCTATCAGAAAATTACCAGCCTATTTCTCTGCTTTAATAAACAGTGCCTTCCAAAGACTAGGCATTCAGTAAATATTTGTGCTCAATAAGTATCTGTCCTGTTTCAGGATTTTAGAATCATTATACTAGTTGTCTGGGTTCCCTATAAACTGATAGTGTAGACTGTCAGTAGGGTAGAAGCTTGGTTCAAAGCATTGCCTGAGAGTTATCTTTGTGGGAAGTAAGGGACTTCAATGTCATCAATGAATTGAATGACAGAAAAATAAGTACTTTATCCAAGATTTTTGGTAAATTACCACATTACTGATACCTGCCTTCATAGTACATTAGATGGCTTAGATATAGAATCTCCCTTAGATGTTACTGTCTCTTCCATTTTCCATTTAGATGTCTGAAAGAGCCAAAAGATTAAATCTACTCCCTGAGAAATTGTAATTTATAATTTTTTTCCCTGTCCTCCCAGATATTTTAAAGAAAAAGATAGTACTGGCTTGAGTCCAATTCTGCAGTGATACAAGGAAAGAAACTTGCCCGTTATTACTTATTGTGTATTAACATACGAAAGTTCAAAGGAGCCCGTACTTTCAGGATGTTGATGCCATGAATGAATTGACCTTTCATTAGTTAGGATTGGTACATATCACTTACTCAGCAAATGATTATTACAGTGATGTTCAACAATTACAGCAATGTGTCCACTGACAACCAGTGGCAAAATCACTTGGTACTATTAAAATGCAGATTTCTGTGGAACGCCTGGGTAGCTCAGTTGTAAGCTTCCAGTTAAGCATCCAACTCGATCTCAGCTAAGGTCTTGATCTCAAGGCTGCTTGAGTTCAAGCCCCGCATTGGACTCTGCACTGGGCATGAAGTCTACTTTAAAAAAAAAAAAAAAAAAAGATAAAATAAAATGCAGATTTCTAGACTTAACCCTATTCCTGTTGAATCCAGATATCTCAGGAGGGAGCTCAAGACATTGCATTTAAAATGAACTCCCCCATGTCATTCCTGTGTACACTAAAGGTTGAGAATCACTGATTTATTATCTTCTGTGTTCATTATGCTTAATCCACTCTAATTCTCTTGCCCAGGACTCCTGAAATTTGAGATCTAGTCTGTGTTCTTGACTATAAATATTAAAACAGAAGTTGGTATAAATTGTGAAGGGCCATGATTTTGTAATCTATTCATCGGCTAATCTGGAATCTCATAATACCACTGTGGCAACAGGTTTAACAAATGTCATTATTAAGACTTTTCAGAGACCTGAACGTCTTAACCAGAGCAAAGCATTCAGGAAGGATCCTGTTTGAGGATCCGATTTTGTTTTGTTTTGTTTATCACTATTTTTTACTTTCTCTTAAGATGTTACTGGCCAAACCCTCATGGTCCCTTGACATTGGCAACTGTCTGTTCATATTTTACACTTGGGACACTGGAGCCTTCCAACCCTGAAGCTCAGTACCTTGGGTCCCAGCTCCCTCATGTGCCACATGTAGTTTCCAGCAAAGGCTGTGGCTTCTGCCCCAGGTGAGGGGGCTGGATATATAATTTCTGTAATCCACGGTATCCATGATCTACTACCTCTTCCTAGCATGGAACAGTGTCCCTCTTTCTGATGTCTCTCTCACTATTCTCCAAGGCAGTCCCTGCTCTCTTCCATCTCCAGGAAACATAATCTCCAAAAGGAGGTCAGGCTTTCATGAGATAGTTGTCAACAAGTACCTACTGTTTCCTTCTAGCTTTGAAAAAGCTAGAAAAAGAACTACAGAGGACCTGGCTACCTTTGAGGAAAACTGTAAGGAAAACAAAAACTCAGTATCTCTGCAAGTTATCCTTCTACACTAGGTCTTAAGGCAAGTCAACCTTTCTGAACCTCATTTTTCTCATCTATAAAAGTATAAAATTAGAGATGATTATTATCCTGCCAGTTTCTCAAAAAGCCATTGTCTACTAAATAGTAGCTGCTAAGAAGTGATTGAATCATGGACACTGTATGTGAAAGCAGATGACATTTTACTAGGGTCTAAATGTTTTTTAATTGCAATCTAAAATTTATAAAATTTATAATTAATATCATTAGCTATTATGGTTCTGAAATTTTGTGTTTTCCAGGACATCAGAATGGCAACATACACACATGGTCAGCCCAGTGTTTCTCTAGGAGATGAAAAATTCAGAAGACCCATGGTCATCGAAATCATAGAAAAAAAAATGGAGTATCTTAGAAAAGAAAAGTAAGAGACACACCCAGACTGACAGTCAATAACTTTATTTGCAGATCTTCTGTATTACTGTTGTTTCTAAGTATCTAAGATCTATTAACTTTATTAAGTTGGTTATAAAAAAGCTTATAAAAAAAACTGAAGAGAAGTATGGACAGATGAAAATAGTGGTTTGTTGTAATATTGAGACCGTGGATAATTTCTTTTGCTTCTTAAAAATAAAATGTCCAGGGGCACAAGGGTGGCTCAGCTGGTTAAGTGTCTCACTTTTGATCTCAGCTCAGGTTACGATCTCTTTATGAGATCAAGTTGGGCTCACAAGCACTGTCTGCTTGAAATTCTGTCTCTCTCCCTCTCTCTCTGCCCTTCCCCCACTGGTGTTCTTTCTTTCTCTCTCAAAATAAACAAGAGCGAGAGCTAACAGAGGAGGGGCAGAGAAAGGGAGAGAGAGAATCCAAAGCAGGCTCTGTGCTATCAGCATGGGGCTCAAACCCACTAACCGTGAGATCATTACCTGAGCCGAAACCAAGAGTTGGATGCTTAACTGACTGAGCCACCCAGGTGCCCTCAAAATGAATAAATAAACTTAAAAAAAAAAAGTCCAGAATTATTGTTGAAATGTTATTTGTATAATAAACATTTTTAAATTAAAAGCAATTAGGAGAATACCATTTGGGGAGCTATCTATATTTAATTGATGTTCAATTGTAATTAAATTCAGTTTAGAATTAATTGACTCATCACAGTGCTGAATTCAGCAAAAAAGGAATACAGATGCCATGGTGTACATATTATCTCACATTACCACTTAAACTTAGATTAACAGAGGACATTAACAAAGGACATTAATCTTAGACCTCAGACATTTATGAATTTAGGTATGATCGGAATAAATAAAACTAGACCTATCAAATCTCTTTGCATGAAGTTTTGGAAATCCTAGACAAATTATTTGAAATATATCTGGACTAATTAAGAAATAGTTATTTGCTAGAAGGACTAACCAAAATGTAAACAACTTTGTTCATATGACTTAAGAAATTAATCCTTTTAGCAAGAGCAGCATTCTTAGATATCTCATAA